ACTTATTATCTAAAAATAGAATGAAAGATTCGCTGTCGGAATTGAATCAGAACTCAGAACTAAACGAACATTTGGAAGAAGAGCGGCACGAAGGGTTTTCTGAAAGCGCGAATTCGGTGCCGGTAATTCGTTCAAAACAGGTTCTCCTGTGCATGGGCAAAGAAAGAAATACGACGGAATCATCGGCGGTCTCGTAAACGCATCCGCGAAACGGAAGAAAGAGAGGGGCAACGAACACCGATGTATCTTCCACACTGGAAAGCATCGCTCCGTGAAACGGTGACGATGAACTTCGGAAGGTTTCCGTCGCGTCACCCGTGAAAATTCAATTTACTGGATCCAGGGTCAACTTTCAACCTCTGCTAAATGTTTTAGGTTACACGCATGGTTAACCGTCGCGTAGTTAAGACGAGTCTGCTCCTAGAAGACGAGCTGAACTCGTTATTAACAAACGAGAAACTCGTTTTTCCTTACTTCCAGTTATGTAAAACGAAAACCGTTTTTAATCAACTAATGGTCCAATTAGTAGATTAAAAATGGAAAACGTATCTACCCATGTTATCAAACATGAATATCACACGAAATTCATGCCAAATAATCAAAAGTTTAAGCAGCGCTACTTGAATTTAATCAAATAATTGCTATAAAAATCTATAATTATATGCAGGTTTCTAAGATTATGGCTTGAGGGCCAAATAAAATCCTTTCGGTGCACCAAGGCAAGACAAAGTGTTCGAAAACGTAACCGAGTTTGCAAAGAATGTCGAGTCGCATAGACTTTTCCCCTAAAACCAACAGAGTTTCAGGAAAAATAATCCGATCGAATTCGCGGTCTGCGGGTGGTCTCGAAGGGCGATCGAAACCGATGATCTCACCTCGAGATATCGATACTAACGCCGAGGTCGTCGGGTCTCGTGCCGTGGAAAGTTCCACTTGGCTCGAGAGAGGCAGGAAACCTGCGCAGACACAGTACACGATTCGGTACGACCGCGCGCAGACCGAATCCGACCAATTTATATCTCCGCTCATAATCAAGATATCAAGATAATTCCTTTTGCAATCGATTCTAAACAATTTCGCCGCCCTATCTTTCGAATTTCATTGAAATCCGTGGAAAATTGTAGGAGTTACGAGAGTTTTCTGGAAACCCGTTCGGCGAATATCTTCCGCGTGAAATATCGATTTCCTTGGACTATTATCGATTCCCACTTATTCTATATGATCTTTTAACCATTAGAAACAATATGCGTTAGTGATACTTGATAAAGAATAATCTTAAGGGCGTAGGATTGAAAGTCAATGATTGGTATAAAAATTCGTCGCTCTCAGTCGTTACTGACTACGATCAAACTTGTTCGATCTAGAATGAATTCGTATAAGCTACTACGAGAGTTACATAAACAATTAATCAGAGTAACTGGAGTCTGTATTTAAGGAGGATGTAAACCAGCGCGGCTTTTGTCCGCGAACAAAAGGAGGGTGTGGCGGATTTACGCGAGTTTACGACTCGAAATCGAAAATAGAACGGCCCATAAAGACCGGCGCGGCTCGTAGTCACTAGGATAATCTGAAGGCACAGTTTAATTGGGTACCGCCATTCGTCGGTACAATTGATTTTACTGTCCGGGCAGTAAAGTAATCATAATGGGACGGCGTACTTAAAATAAAAGTGTAAATAGATGTAAATTAACTGCGTCGGATCGCTATGATTTATATATTTGCTTGTCTACTCGGGCCCGAGCCAAATGTTGTATAGATGTATCAAAGATTCTGATGGCCGAACGCCAAATCGGATGTTTCTAACCAACTGTGCCACTGCGATATTATTTTTATTTATTCATATATTAACGTCTTCATTATGCGCAAAGGGAGCAGCTTGCAAGTCTCCATAATACTGACGAACGAATATTGCTTTTAAAAAGACAATTTTAGACTCGCTAATAAAACTACGAAGTTAAATAATGTAATTGCAAAATCGGTAACTAAAAACAGCCACGGCATTCTGTGTTAGAAAGGGAGCGAAATCGCGTCTCGAATTGTATAGAGCGCTCCGAAGCGTCTTTCGTTCTTAGATTAGGATTTTCGAGAAAATCCTAATCCACGGGAAAGGGCAGAAAGATCGCCCGAAGGAAGGAAACGAAAGTGAACGCAGAAAATGGTAGTTCGAACAGGTCGAGATAATAGAGACTTCGGCCGGTCTGCCGCATTCGTGCTGGGACGAGTTCCGAGGGAAGGCCCCGGAACCTGCCAAGCTAACAAAATGGTAGGACCCACCGCGCCGAGCTCAAAATCAAGCAACAAGTTGCAGGCCGCCTCTGACTTATAGGGTGTGCCAGAAGTGAACACCGTTTCCGTGAAACGAACAGACAACATTCGTGACGAATCGCGACTCATCCTTTTAACTCCATTTCTACGTTGTCAACGAGTTGACGAAGTTAGAAATCTAAACTTTGGAAAGATCCCGCCGAGATTGCAAGATTCACAACTAAGGAATGGGTAATTACGCGTTATGTATGAGTTTTAGACTCTTCAACATGCCATCATATAGATTTAATCCCCTTGCCTCCATTTCTATGTTGTTTGTAAAAATGCAAACTTCGGAAGGACCGCGACAAGATTGAAAGATTCACAACTAAAGAATACAAGTAATTACGTTATGCATCAGTTGTAAAAAGTCTCAGCTTCTTTCTACAATATTTTTATCGATGTCATTTAAACCGTATCTCAATCATTAAGCACACGTATTTACCAATTTGAAATTACGCTCGATTGAAATTATTTTACCGAATAAGCAAATGCATTCATGTTCGAATGTACTCGTCTCGAAAGTGGGTCGTGTATTTCGACTATTCGTAACATTTCGTCGTCTATCTAATTACCAATATCATTCGCATCCCGGCCATGCATAGAATTAATAAACAATTCGATGAAAAACGCATGGAACCATATCGACTGCCGTTAGTCATTCTCTATATAAATTACACGCGGAAATCTATTTCCTAATTGAATAGCGATCGCGCCAATTAGCCGGTTATTAGATAAATATATCCGAGGACGATCACTGAACTAGGCAACATTTCATTAGCATTTTTTATGCTTCACGAGCATCAAATATTCAATCATTGTATTAAAAAATATCCTCCCTTAATATGATATCGTATTATGTTAAGAGACAAATGTACGGATAAACTCCTGTTGAATAACTTGTCGGTTTTTTAAGTTTATCTACATTAATCTACAAGAATGCTTGCTGCAGATCGATCGAAGAAGCGAATACCGACACTTTGATCCCGATACGGTATCTGTCGCGTGTCGCGCATATTGTCTCCGTTTATCGTCGACGAACACACACGGTTGTTCGCGCGACAAAAAGGAGAGCCCTCGGCGTCTTTCAACGGCGTTATCGCACGACGCTTGTCGTCGGCAACCGGTTCCGTTCAGTTTCGGAGAACCGTTTGCCAAACAGAAACCGAAACCTTTCGGTAGCGTTTGCCCGGTATCAGTTGCTTGACAACGAGCTCAATCTTAACACACAACTGAGGATGTTACGATTCCGGAATCAAGAGTTTCATTACTATCTTCAGACGCACGTGATCCACTCTTCCCGTTTTTAACTTCTTTATATGCAAGCGAATAATTCTACCGCGAAAAGATGAAAAATTATAACATTTCGATATCGTATAAGTATTAACATTGTTCTACATGCATATTTTATACATGCTCGACTATGCACCATTATTATTCATGTTACATGAGAACCAGATCGTTGTACCTTTGTATTATTAATACGATTTCGCGAAAAATAGCGTCAAGAGTAACTCGTTGAAATATCCGATCTGTTGCATTATTTAATCGCATAAGAACAGAACCGTTTGGCTAAACAGTAATTCGAGTCATGATAATCGAATCCTAATAATTTACATAAATACATATCCTGCACTATGAATGCAAGCTTCAGCTATTAAGTAGACTGCATTCGCCTTATTCAAATTAACATGCAGTGAAGAATTTAAAAATGTTATCTAAACGCGAACAACATTTTCATGGCCGACTTATCATTCAAAACACGGCGCACCGTAAGAATGCGATTAAGCGTAAAGTATTTATTACCCCCATCATTCTTTATGTAAGAAAAACTGCACATAACGTGCTGCGCAGGATACAACGGGTTTATCGGGCTGCAAATTCTCGTAAAAACATTACCGAAACGTACGGTAGGTATCGAGGCTCAACGCCGGCGTTCGTTTTCAGGCGAACGACCAAGTAAAAGATACTCGTTCGCCGTTACCTAATCAACAGAGGCTCTCGAGCGTCGAGAGGTTTTTCACTGGTACTCGCTCGTACCCTTTCTCCGTCTTTCTCGCACGCGTACGTGGGAGTCGCGGCGTTCCGCGCGAGTCGGAGCGCACTTAAGCGCCGTGAGACGAGCTCGCGCGATAACAGGGACCCGATAACGGCGGCAGCGGCGACGCGACGTATGCTCGGTTTGCTCGTAACATCCTGGCGACTTCCAGTAGGTATACATGCACAAACCGGGCATGTCCGTCCGCGCAAATAGGACGTATTAAAATCAGTGATACGTAATAATCAACACGTACGCATAATTACATCGTCTGGAGTAATAAGTCAATTAAGATTCTCGCTCTTAATTATGAAATTATTTATTAATCGCCTTATGCATCTTAGATATGCACATATTTCATCGTATATGTCAATAATTTAGAACAGATCTCAGATTACTCTAATATGTATAAGAACTATCTTGCACATCGATAAACTGACCTCCTGTTTTTCAATTTGAGTTTTCCGTCGCACGTAAGCAAAATCAATCGGAGAATCAGAGCATTAATCGTATCGTTCGGCGAACGTCTGCTGAAGCACATTGCCGCGCTTGCATGTAGCTACGTGTATGCACAAGGCGCTGTGCGTCGGCCCGTATAAAGAGCGGTGCATTGCGCCAAGCCTGTGCGCCGCGCTGCTGAATTAATAATCGAACTTACATACGTAGGTTGCCGCTCGTCTTCCGGGTGTCTGGATGTGTACATGTTTAACCGGCCAAGGCGGAGGTGCCGTTGGTGAAAATCTATCTAAAAAATAAAGGAAAATGGTGTTAAGCCGATGGCGGTGGCATTAAGTCTAGACGGTGATGAATTGGCCGCGATAAGAACCGCGGTGAATTTGTATCGCCTGCACTTTTCTGGGGTAGATATGGCATATACCTAGTTTGCGGCTAAGGGTGATAAGTAAGGGCTGATAAATAGTCGCCCGAGGTGTAGGCGCCTACAGGTGATTTTCAAACTAACTTAAATAGAAAATCTTGGAAATGAAAACGTCGTATTTATTTAAAATTCAATCACACCGGATGCTGTCTTTCATTTTTCTTATGTATGTCACGTTTAATACTTCGTTTAATGCACTTAAACATGCAATAAACAGGAAGACTTCTGAAGACTGAAAAGCCTAAACAAGAATCGCTTGTCCAACGCACGAATGCTTATAAATTATTACTTGTGCTCGTAAGTGCCACTTCTACGAGATCCGTGCTGTATCTGTTACACGGCAGGAGAGGATGTTAAGTAAGCTGAAGTGCACGAAGTTTATTCATGTTAACGCTCTCGTTACAAATTCAACCGCTTAGCCCCGGGCACAGTAGGGCCAAATCCCGAAAATGTCGCTGGGAAAATCAGTTGGCTATTCCTGCCCCTTTTGTTATTTCAGAGTTTTGTAAGAGATAATGAAAAAGTCATATTCGGAAAAGTATCTTACAAATCGTTTATATCAATGATGCTTATGAATTAGTTAGTCAAAGAAGTATTTCTATATTCATCCTTGATGTCTAAAACCTTTTCATATGAATGGCCACAAATTGCACTGGCCGTTTTTTCATTATTTTGCATCTTTCGTTTGGTTTTTTTTTTTAATTTTGACATGAGAATCGTAATCGGCGACATCGAAATCCCCTACGTATAGATTTTTATACAGAAATCATACTGTTTTCCACTTTCATCCACTTTTTCAGGATTTAGCCGCACTACGTCGCAGTGAAAAACGAGAGTAGGTAATGATCGGTCGAAAATACACGAGCGTCGTGACTGATTTACGAAGGTATTCGTAGACTCGATTACGAATAATAATGTATCAGGCGGGATGTGCGATGAAAGATGCATTGAGCTTTCGTCTCCAAATGGGATGAAAGTAGAACAGTAAAAAAAAAAATGGAGAGAGAATGTAATAATGTAGACGGACTGTTTTTAGAAATGACCAAGACGCGCGACCAATCATTTATATTTAACCATGGATTGCAAAATACATCCGTTACGAAAAAACGGATAATTCAATTCTACAGAGGAACTCTCACCGACATTTCGTAAAATGTTCCTAAAAAAATTCAAGCTGCACTTTGGAAGCGTCTATCATTGTCCTGATTAGTCAATTTCGAAAAACTGTAGATTGCAATTCGTAGATATGAATAACAATGATATACAACAGGAAACCGTAGTTTAACCGCGATTCAAATCGTCAAAAATGTTCGATAATGTCTCCAGATGCGCGAAAATAAAACATCAATTATCTAAGAAAGTTTTTATCGGATGACGGTCAAACTCGTATGGATGTACATGACAAATGATAGAGAAAACGACATGGAAAATTTCGTTTCGATATCATTGCTCGTTTTCCAGATATTAAATGTTCACTTTTTGCAACCTCGGCTGGCTCGAGCTCGACTCTCCCGGCTTCTGCCGAAGAAACGCGCGCGCATATCGAAACACTTCAAACGCTCACCATACCCTTGCAATTAATTCACTAAAACATTAACTACAAAATCTCTGCACAGTATCATTCCTATTACAGCATACACTACTTAACTACTACGTAATAAGCATAAAATGATCACCAATTATGATGTCAAGATAAGCTATTTCGACAAGAGCAAAATATAAATAGCTAAAATACGAGTGTTTTATCATTAAACGATTATTAATCTATGGCCGATATACATGGATCGTGAATATAGGAACTGTATTCCTACGTGTGGTTTCGTAAAATCGGTTACTTTTGACATGTAACTACCACAATTATAAAAAGATCCAGTAGTAGGTAGCTATCATGAATATTGAATACTATTCTATTTTAGATACGTGTGTAACAATTCGACAGTCCTATGTAACTTTGTTACTACTATTATTTCATGAACTACAGATTCCGCTGCACCTCCATCAATTTCGTGACACTAGCGATCGATAATCTTTGACACGATATTCTGAACAATGCATCATTTGTATTTAATGCCGAATCGTTTATCCTTCTCATTATACTTCTCAATACCCTTAGTCTTTTACTTAAGTCCACGTCTCGAAATAAATCACTGTAAAGCTTTCTTAACTTCGAACTTGTTTTCCGATTTCGACGATCGTAGATAGAAGAGATGCGCTCTGTTAACATGGTTAATCTCGGGGTACGAGTGTCGGGCACGGTGGGAACGATCGTGATATGATTTTTTTAGGGGGCATCGACTTGCCATTTGATTTAGATCCAGGAAGAACGCGCCACGCCCTGCTTTCAACGTTGCCGTGTCTGCGATGGACGGCCCGCATAATGAGAAACACGAATCAGTGGCCTCATCGTTCTCCCGTATCTGTGGTCGCGTGCGCTGCGGCTTCGTGCGCGTTTGCCCTTGCTTATCGCGTTCTTGCGCAGCTTTAATTAGCTCGCCGCCATCTCTTGGTCACTAAGCTACTTCTGCGTACCCGCTCTCGTTTCTTTTTATTTGCTCCGCAGTCATATCTTCTCGCCCGTAGCAATAAAAACGACGTACCAGCGCCAGTCTCGAGATACGTATGCGCCAGCAAAACTCCTGCGGGTTTACATAACTCGAGTTGAATACTTTTTAAGATTGCGTATTCTAAACATGCGCATGATTCGACATTCGGCGTATGAATCTGATTCTTCTGTTTTGAGAAGAAGAAGTCTTTTCATTTAAAAAAAATTATCCTTCTGTCAGGAAAACTGAGTTCGTTTCAGATTTGAATTTGACACACGCCATAAGCTGGTTTCATATTTAAATCGTACAAAACCTGTAAATAGATAGTCATTTTCCTAGATCTGAAAGCCGCTATTAATTAAATTAGGGGTATTTTTCTATTTATTTAGGGGTATTATTCTATTAATTAGGAATATTACTCTGAAGGCGCAAAATGCAACGACGACAACGACGACGATGACGACGACGACGACGACGACGACGACGATGAGGAACAAAGGAGAGAGTATTGCTTATGCGGGGTAAAGAAGCAAAAGGAGGGGACGTGCCATAAGCTGCGTACCCGCGGCACGCCATCTACATTGGCTTTGTGTATTCCATGGTTGCGCAATAGCGCGCGGCTCGAGAATGCCGAGCGCGCGACACGCACGCTGACATTTTTGCCTTTGTGCGACGCCCGTGTGGGGTTGCGCGCAGTACTTCGCCGCTCTGCACAACGATTGATTGCGCTGCAAAGAGGGGCGAAAAACGCTTGGAAAAAAGGGAGGAGAGGAAGGACAGAGCGCAACAAGGGTACGCGTACTCCCATCCCGCGACGATGAACCGTCCGCAACGAGCAAGGGTACATAAGGCAAGGGAGACGGATTACGAACATTACGGAGCGACTAACGGGGGTGAAGGTTGAAGGGAGACCGAGGACGAAGAGAGGGTGGAAGATGTAGACAAAGAGACGCGAAGAAAGAGAGAAAGACACGCGAGATGTGAAAAGGTGGGGAAGAGGAAAGGAGAGGAAGATCGGTCTCTTGGTGCAGAGAGCGTAGTGGTTATAAAGAGAAGCGGCATCGCTGCACGGCTACTTGGCTCTCCAGGGCCAGGATATTTCAATACCGGCGGTGGTCGGCACCGCCGATGTGGCTACGGAGAGGGGAAATGCTTGTGACGACGTGCGCTGCTTATATACATATAGATATGTAAATGTATACATATATACATGTACTTCCCCTCGTGCCTAACCCGCCCTACGCGACAGCATATACGCGGTATATACGACTTTACACACCCGTGGGCGTTAAAGAGAAAGAAGGAGAGAGACAGACAGACGGATAGAGTAAGAGGAAGAGAAGCAACGAGATCTGACCGGTAGCACGGTAGCGCTCCGCTATTCGGGTTTTCTGTACGAGGGGAAGAGCAACGGTAAGGGGAGAGAGGTGCGGAAGGGGGCAAAGTCTGCCGTCTCTGTTTTAACATACACAGAGGGGGAAAGTTGCGGCAAAACGGAAAGGCTGACGTCGAGGGGAATGCAGGGACTCGCGCCGCGCGGCGATGGGGACCTCGAACCAAACCGTCTCCGACGATTGTCCATGCGAGCCCGCCTTCTCGACGCGTCGAGGGGAATAAACGTGGGCTGTGCTACACGTGGATTGGCCAACGCAGCGCGCGGGGTGCGAAGCGTCGGTGGCGCCTCGAGAATCCCACCAATCGAACGTCTCCGTCGTGGCTTTTTTATCCTGCTATTTACGCCGAAGGACGGAGAAGAGCTGGCTGCCCCATCTGGCTCTCTCGCTCGTTTCGCTATCCCTCTCTCCTTCTTCCTCGGTCGACCGCTCTCCCTGTGTGTTCGTCGGCACAGGAGAGGACACTCTCGTTTCGGGATCCGTTGAGGTTGCACACGTTTTCACGTACAGCGCCGTCTGTTTACTGCGACGCCTTCTGTATTCTACGTCGTCCTTACTGGATACGGTGCGTTAACGTAATACCGCGTGCGCGCTTCGTTCGGATAATTCGTTTCAAGTGTCTGTTTATTGTAAAAGCATCGTATGCGACGGCCGATGCCGTACGATAGTGTTGTGTAGTGACGTATGTGTGACAGTACGTCGCAAGAGGATACAGTGTTGTCGGATCGTAGGCGCGAATACACGGCAAAAGCGTATACAACGATCGGCGAAACATCGTGATTATACTGCGCGTGCGTTTCTGTAAGGACGCGATGATTGATTCGTCCCGGCAGTAACGGTACGTCGCGAGTTCAACGACGACACCGTGAATTTTCGAGTTTGTCGGATAGGAGCGCTAGTGAAAAGACATTTGGTGCGGTGCTATCGACGAAATAAACCTGGCAACACCGCATCGACTGGTCTCGCACACAAGTATACAGACAACCATACACATACCTAGAAGGGAACTTGGGGTGGCTGGCTGTGGCTAGCAGGCAGGCGGCAAGGCAGGCAAGCAGGCACAAGCAGCTTTCTTGTTCCGAGGACGGGGTTCCTGCTCGCGCCGTCTCTCTTTTCTACCTCCATTGCGCTTGCTCTTCTCTCCCCTTCTCCTCCCCACCCTTCTCGTCTACGGTTCGCTCAATCACACTCTCCTTCTTTTCCTTTCTCTCTCCTTCCCGCTTTCGTTCTCTCTTTCTTGTTTGTGGCGCACGTACCGTTGAGAGCATCTCCCTTCCCCTTCGATACTCTTTCTCTACCATTACCCCCTCCGCTCCTAACCTCGAGCGGATCGGGCGAGTCCACTAAGCTTGCGAGGGGAGTTCGGCAGATCTCGGCTCTAGTCGGCCTCGATCCGCAGAATGTGCTAGACGCTGCGAGTCGATCGCTCCAGTTTTTTAATATTCATATATAGAGAAGCTGTATAGCGTACACGGAGGTCGAAAACCATTCTTCGCACTTTGCACGCGGACCCACGAGTTCCTAGTGCTTGTATCAACGTCAGTTTTCACCATCAGTCGGGGACGCACTCGATCAGTGTATATCCGTACGACGGCCATGTTTGGTGTTTACGAGGTGAGGGGGAACTGCTGACGTCACGAACCCCGATCTTGCACGAAGGGAGCAGCAGCACCAGCAGAAGCAGAAAACGTGTTGCCGGCCAACGCGGACACTTGAGTCTCGATACACGTCTCCGAAACACAGCCGAGTATCGCGAGTGTTCGACGCAGAATAATTGTGCGGTGAATACGCGGAGAAGAAACTCGCGGCGCGTAAACTGTGCCGCTCGAAATTCCGTTCCCGATGGGACGTGTATGTACGCCGACTTCGCTCGTGTTCGCCGGTCTTTCCGCGACTACTGGCCTTTCAAAAAACATCGGTCGCGTTGCCGCTTCGCCGCTGAAATAGCAGAGCCACTCTAATCACCGACGGTCGGCTCCGATCAGTGCGGAAAACATTGAGCGATGCCGAGTGTTCTCGTAGACGAGACAACACGTGCCGCATCTTTTTTTACATGATCAGTAACGAAAATGTTTAGCGCAGCAAGAATGCGATCGAATTGATCGCACCGCAAAAACGCATGGTTACAATCTATTTCATGTTTTCTATTGTCTACAAAAGGTGTTTGATGAGAATTCAATGAGATTACCGCTACATTTTGTTTGGTGTCACTACGATCGTGCCTCGATTATTTTGCGTTTCGCCGTGTGTCACCGCGAGCAAATTGGAGCAATCCGTGCTTGATTCGGTGTCGGTACATATGGTGTTACCTTTTTCAGTGTCGTTTCTCAGTGACGCGCATCATTATTTTCTTGGATGTATTAACACTCTTCGTACGTGTCTAACCAGCAAGGATTAAAAAATATCATGGATCTGGGTGACAGAGTTTACGCTGCGGAACGGATCACGAAGAAGAGAGAAAAGCGGGTAAGTAAGAGAACTGCGAGCCGCCAGGGAGCGCCACTATACGGAATCTGTTTGTCTATGCGCCGTTGCCGCTTCCTCCTCTCTGCGATCTTTCTCTTTCCTACTGTCGTTCCAGCGATCTCCAATGCTCCTCCTGTAGCGATTCATATCATGTACTATGTTCTCAATGCCCCGCGTTAAACCTCATGATCAGACATATTTTGTTGGTACACAAACATTGTACGTCAAATAAGTCGTTCCTCTATTTCTAAGCGTGTCCGAGGAGATTTGCATTCGTACATCTAAAGTTGTCAATTTTATATGCGAATTATTCATGAAATTGCTACATTATTCTTTCTGACAATTCTTAAAAGAATTGTTCCGTATGCGTGTAAGTATGATTTACGGCCGCGTCAATCGTACCGATTCGATCTTGTTTGAAAAACAGCCGTGGCTTATGTAAGAATTTATGCGTTATTACCGTGCCGGCTATCCTCGGAGGCACGGTAACGATACTGTTCGTGGCTCGGCAACGTTGTAAATCGACATAAAACACGCGAGACTTCTCAGCTGCGAGAGCGGCTCATGCGCGATAAACCAAGGCGTCCTATACCTGCACAGTTATGTCATTGTTTTCCAACTGTCACACTCGCTGCGCACCGTGACCGGTCGGCACGTTTTCGTTCGTTGGCCGACGGCCAATAGGTGAGCCGTACGAGCGGTTCTCGTGGAAGTCAACGCCGCCCGTTTTATCGACCGTATACTACCCGCTCCTACGAGAGATGGATTCGAAAATCTGCTGTTTGACGCAGACGTGCGAAACAGATCTGCGGATCGGACACGTTCCCGGCCACTACCAAGTGCGAACGGTCTTCTTACCGCTAGACCGCTTCAGATACAATCGCACATCTGCCTACGTCTTATCTATGAAATGCGGATGTTCGAATCCATATTTTTATAAACATACAACTCTGGAACCTACACCTGAATAAAGATTTATTCTTTGAATACAGCGTGTATTAATGTTTACACGTAATGTTTATCTACCCGTTTTGTCACCCTTACATTTTTCCTAAGTACATGAGCATTTCCAGTCTACGCACCTTGATTCCTCGTTGCATATGCATGTATCACGCATCTTCATTTTTTAAGTAGATACATAGCGATTCACGTTATGCAATTTAGTAGACGCTGAAGAACGCTGGGAATCTGGATTTCGAATCTACCAGAGCAGGTGTTAAAACGCTTCTGCTTCTTTCTCTTTTTTCGATGCACCGTGCCGGAAAGAGGGAGATGATTTCAAGAAAGATGTTTTACGTAGATTAAGATTTGATACAAGTCCTGTGTCGTCTCATTTTTCTGTATTTCACATCTGCAAAAACGCAAAAAGAACAAGTAAAATGGGACGCTTTATTAAACTGTAAATTCTTCTTGTAAATTACATTTAAAACCGGTACGTCGCATTTCGCAACAAGTTTCATTTATAACAATTGGATTAAGGTGTACGTGTCTCCGTAATATTGTAAATAACTCTTTGGCATTTTTAATGGTGAGATGCATCATTTTACCTAAATCCATTTTTCGTTCTAGTATTATGCATGTTGATATATTCGTAAATAGACGATTGCTATCTTTTTCAGGGGAAAGTAGAATACTTCGTAAAATGGAAGGGATGGAGTAAGAAGTAAGTGAAAGATAAAGCTAATAAAATTATTATGGAGGCAATTAAAACGGGTTGAAAATTGTAATTCCTTCCCCCTTTTAGATATAACACGTGGGAACCGGAAGAAAACATTTTGGATGTTAGGTTAATTGAATTGTACGAAGAAAGTCAAAAAGGCGGGGATGTTACTACGAGAAGACCGAGGCGGAGGGATACCAGATACAATGTAAATAAAGTTCTCGTAATTTATTAACAAATAACTGTGTTTTTAATTTTAAGATCGTACCTAAAACTTTACGTAAAAAAATTATTACCTTGAACTTCTTACTCTTTTTTAAATAACGCATTTAACGTAACAATTGAAAGTTTCTCTGAAAATCTGAAATTGAATATTTTCTCGGACATCAGGAGACAGTTCTGGCCAACTTAGTCGTCGAGGAAGAGCCAGGTGGAGACGAAAGAGTCGGTGAGGATAGCCAAGACGAATCGACTACCGGTAGCACCTCCGCTCCTCGTTTGAATCCTGTTGCACCTGACGAGGACACTCTTCCCAGTTCACTCGACGGACATGAATCGCCTACAGCTCCGGACTTATCCGCATCCGTATTTAGCGTCGATTCAGATAGTTCGAACAGCAGCGTGGACAGTCCTCTATTGCCAAGGAGGGAACCAACGGGCACAAAAAGGAAGGCTGAAGTTCTGAGTAAAGAGTCTGGTAAAATCGGTGTTACAATTACTACGAGCAGTCCCAGTAGCGGTAGCGGAAGTCCTCCGCCGAACAAAATTCCTCGATTGTTGCCGCTCAAGAGTAGTCCGACGTCTCCCACTTACCACGTGAGTGTTCTGAGTTTATTTATGAATTTCATATATGTATACGAAGGATTCCGGATTTCTAAAGAGCATCCTACGTATTTCAGAGTCATAAAGTCAACGGCAGGAGACCGTCATCGTCGAGTGTGAAATCAACACCGGAAGAACCGTTGCCAGCGACGACAACGACACCGGCTCCAGCGGTGCAGGAGAAGAAACGTGCCGAGGCGGATGTACCTCACGGCCCTCCACCCTCGTTGCCGCGTGCACCACCAGCACTTCTGTGCCCACAGATAGACACGCCTTTGGAACAGCCTACCAAAAAGAGGCACTTGCCCGAGCAAAAACAGGAAAAGTCAAACGGAACTGTGACAGTGGACGCGAACGGTCATAAATCGCCGAGCCCTACGGACTCGTACACGAACAATAACAGGTTACCGACCATTGTCAACGGGCACCATAATAACAACAACCATACTAACATCAACAATAACAATAATAATAACAATAACAACACGACGAACGTGAAACAGACGGAAATCACGAAGACAGATATGTATGTCCCTCTCTCGAGTCCCGGTACGGATTACTGGCACGCGAGGAATCCGGTCGCGGATCAGGTGTTCATTACGGACGTGACGGTGAACCTAAAGACTGTTACGATCAGGGAGTGCAAGACTGAAAAGGGGTTCTTCCGCGAGAGGGATCCGAAGAGCGATATCTATTAACAAACCCAGAACAGGGCCGATTTATTGTGAATTTTTAATTAGCGAGAATCACGCTTGTAAATATAAATTATTTTCACACGTTGGAGTGTTAAAGTCGGGGGGGTTGAATATTATTGAGACTTTTCTATCGAAGTAAAACGAACACTGTTTCGGTGGTTGTGAGGGGGATTAACGCGGAAATACGCAGAGTCGAGTAACCGATACGTCGTACCTTCTGAAGGATGTTTCAGAAACGGCAAACATGTGAAATTCCAATAGCTATGGATAAGATCTTCTGGATCTTGTTGAAAACTAAAAGTGGAATGATTCGGAACAGACTTTGTGTTGTGTAAGGCAACAGATAAATGATAGTAAGGTGATGATCATCCCACGAAAATTTTACATAAAAAAAAGGAAAGGCGGTACGTCAATGAGTCGCTGTCAAGTCGTGATATACACTTGTACATTTTAAAGAAACGCTTGGTAGACTTTAACTCTCTGTACAGATGAAAATTATGCGAAAAAGATCTGACGGAAACGTTTTTAGAGAATAGACACAATTTTCTCAATTGATTGCGTTTCTGCTTCTACTAGAATTTTGCAAGGGAAAAATAGTGAAATATGTATCGTGTAAATTAGTTAATTCCGAATATGACTATGGTAAAATAGTACAGATCTGGAAAGAAATATTTTTCTAATTCGTTTTTAGAATAATCGGAGCAGCTTCGTAGAAGCGATTTAAGAAAATGCGAAAAAAAATTTTCAGGTATAGAGACGCGAAGAAAACAAATAACGCTATCTTGATGACGTATTTCTGAGTATTATGATATTATATTGTATTTACTAATAAATATTACTCTTTTTTTCTCTTTTTAATAGTGACTAATGTCGTGTCACGGAAAAATGGAGATGTATCATTCGTTCGTAGCTTTTAGATTCGTTTAGAGACACGAACTCATTATTGATTTTTCAAGTTGTTGTAGCATCAGGCATACATACACACATACACAGAGTTCAATCAATCAGTTACTAACAAAAGGAGAAGAGGGCAGAAAAAATGATGTACGTTGTCAACGGCAGAGAACAAGATCATTGTAATTTGTACGACGTGTCCTGTAATACTTTTTAGTGTTTTTTTGTTACGACTTGATTACGTGTTGTTTAAATATGTGTTAGCTGTTGCATTTTTTATACTGTCAATTATGTTCTCCTTTTCTTTCTCATTCGAATTTAAGGACTGATCGCGCATTATACGTTTTTGCGCACACAACGTTTAATTCCAAAAAAAAGGTGAAAAAGAACGATGAACGCGTGGATGTACATCGAGAAATATTTATGCATATCCCGAAGAGAGCGCCGTATTATTTTTTAAAATGAGTTATCAAACGTATTCACCAAATAGAGATGTTCCTACCTCGAAAACGGTTGAACAGAGAATAATCGAATACTAGAACCAAATTTTAATATCTTTATTAACGTCGCTTAAATTCTTCGAGTGGTTTTGTCATTATTCTCTTTAATTCTCTCTAATTTTCCTTTAAGGTCTTTCGCTGCACCGTACAGTTGGCGCGCGCATACACCAGTTTAAAAACCAGTAAATCGGTGATATAGTTAAATAATCGTGTAAGCATAAAACTTAAACGAAAAAACATATACGTTGCTTATTTATATATATATTGTAACTAATATAATGAAAGAAAATTTTTAGGTTTTTACATTCTTAGTATAGTATTATTAGACTGTGTACGCAATGTGTCACGTGTTTTGTGAATAAAATGAAACGAGTCTCGTTCGAGAGGATTTTCTTCTCTACTGTTAAAACTAAGGAAGCTTTATATCAATTATGATTTGAAACGGATCGACAGATCTGTGATGAACTGTTAAATATTTGCCGCTTACTATATACATATATTTTTTTGTAATAGACTGTGTACGACCGATTTCCAAGAGAAAAACAAAACGATAGTGATTTATCTCTTCGTAAAGAAAAATCAAGTGGGGCTATTTGTGTACAATTAGGACATACGATTCCTTGCTATCCGCGGGGAACTCAAATATATATTTATTAAATTGTTGTGTAATGTAAAACAAAACAAACTCTGTATATTGAGAGAGAAATATTCTGTAAAAATTGTAAATAGTCGGACACTTAAACTCTATGATAACGAATCGAGAGAGAGAGAGGGAGAGAATGTGTAGCTTTAGACCTTTCAGTTATTGTAAATGTAAATAGAGAATGAAAACAGAAACCCCTTTAAGTTGTAAATGCAAATTCGCAAAACTGCAGGTCTAGAGGAAATCCTTTTTAGCTTTAGATGACTTTGAGATAGACTGTGCGCGTACCTTCAACATTGTTTCTGTACTTATAGAATATTCAGACTCTACTTATAAACCGTACAAGGAAAATGCATTGAAGAGAGAACAGAAAACAGAAAAGATGATCCAGCGGTTAAACAGGCATATACGATATGTGAACCCCGGTAGTACCAAATTCACACAGTAATTTTAGTTCTGTCTGGTACAGATTCTTATATTTCAATAAAATCTTTATTTGAACTTTTGTTCGCGTACAGTATTTGTTTTCTATCCACTCAAAGCCGAATAAACGTTTACTCTTTATTTATTTGACGTGACCTCGGAAAAGCCTGATCTCTTTGTTCTTTTTTCTAAGTTTGCACTTGCATATGTTACTACCCATAATGTGTAAAGTAAAGGGAGAATAAAGCAACAATTACTGGAAAAAGTATTTCCGAACAGAATATCCTACATACTTATTATTATGTGTAGAAATAGTATTCCCGATTCTTTCATCAAGCTTACCTTATTAATGAAATTATGTATAAATATCTTACCTGTTAGGTAAATCGTACTTGACATCATCAATGTAGAGAATAGATTAGAGTCTTCAATATTCAGCATAATAATCCTTATCCAGGTGTAGATATATTGACAGATGACAATTCAACTTTTTCCAACTTAATTTAATTCACTTACCGAAATATACGAAAACCTGAATCTTCAATCGTGAATAAATAAATATCTTGAACTTTGAACTAATCGTGAAATTCAAATTTTAAATCCTGACGAACACACTGATATAAGATAGAATGGAATAATTCGTGTAATAATATTTGAACTCGATTGCAATGCAAACAAATCGTAACTAAAATTGGTAAATCTTCAGAATTGAAAACTAAAACGGATGTTACAATAAATAATCGTTTACATAAATCTTCCCTCCATTTTCATATACTGGTAGGACTGTGCGTGCCTAACTTCACGCAGAGACGAAATATTTTAAAGAGAAACAACTTTATCATTTTCTGAGGGATCTATTCACATTTCTGGGATCTCTAGCTTTAATTTGAATCGCATGCATCAAAATCTGTGCAGAGGAACTGGAAATGTAATCCCTCAACAATCGCTGAGATTGTTCAACCATAAATTATTTTCTTGCCACAGTTGTAGGAATGATACATGAAGTTCGTTCAATCAATCATGTTTTGATATAGAAGCATATAGAAGCGAACCATGTGGTCAGTGCATTTACTTACTTTGGTTATTCCGACTTTAACGCACGTTTAAATGTGAATATTTGACTATTTTTACGTATTTTATACTTCGGGACGTCGTTAATATATGGAGTATACAATACCGAGCGTAATTATCAGAGACATTAGTTTTTTCCAAAGTAAATGACAAAATGCAGATGAAGTTAAATACCAGACGCAAGTCTACAAATATCGAAGTAATAGATGTAGACGATTTAGTTCTGACAAGAAAAGGCGGAGGTAGTATAATTGATCAACGGCCGACCTTTTCACATGATGGAGAGTAAGTCTGAATTTGACATCTACTTCACGAAGACTATATACTTTTACTATAATATCCGATGTTACAGAACATTGTACATAGTATGGAAACACGTTATAAGAGCTTACAGTACTCAAACTGGAGACTTTGTGAAAGAATTAGAGCCAGCAAATCATAGAATAGCTGGATTAATTATACATCCAGAGAACCCCAATTTGCTTATCGCTTGTACAGAGAATGGAG